GAAGTACCTTTACAGTACTAGCCCGTTGTTCATTGTTTGTTTTAACAGTGACTCTATTCTTTCTCCCTTTCTTCAACTCTTGCCTCTAGCAAAGAAACTTTTGAAAGCGCATCCCTTTCTGATAAACGTATTATGTGCAATTCATCATCCATGTCAGCTCTCTGTCTCTCCAACTTCTCAATTTGCCTTTCAGCCCTCTCAATTTGAGCCAGTCTTTCCATTGCTAACCTTTGGATTTCACTCCTTTCCTTTTGTGCTGTGGCAGCCTCAGCTCGTGCTCTATCGGCCAATTCAGTTGCCTTTTTAGCCTCCTTTTCAGCAATTTTACACCTTTCTTGTACTTCATCAAATCTTCTGAATTCTGACTGGTACCTTTGCTCCAGATGTATCTTCTCCTGCTCTAATATTCTTGCTTTCCCTTCAGACGATTGGCACTTAGCGTTAACAATTTCCAACTTATCAGTCAATTCTTTGATTTCAAGCTTCAATGATGATACCTCTGCATCATAACTTCTCATTTTTGAATCTGCAGCCTGCAAAGAAATTGTCATAGTGAAAAGCTCTCAATAACACTCATTGCAAACCATAGAAAGTGAGTTGCCATATGTCATGCACCACTCAACAATTTGATCAAATAATTGCCAGAGTAATGGGGAGGGAGAAGTATTGTGGTTCAGAAGCTCACCTTCAACTCTAGCTTTAGACTTGTCAAACACTGTTCAGCATACTCGACTTTTGCAGACTTCTCTTTTAGTTCCTCTTCCTGCGTGTTTATTAACGAAAGCAATTACAATTCTTTCCACATCCTCAAGGACTAAATAGTAGAGAGAGCAAAAGAGACAACAACAGAGACGGTGACTACCTTCTGAGCCAAAATGCTCGAAAATTCCTCTCTGAGAATATCTTCCCTCAGTTGTGTTTCCTTACTGGAGCGTTCTTGCACAATTGCGGCCTTCTCCAGAGCAGTCTTAGCTTCTCTAACAGCAAAATCATACTTCCGTCTCCACTCTGCGGCCTCCTCTTGAGCAGACTCAGCTTGTTCTCTGGCAGCAGCAAGCCTTGCTTCAGCAGTAGTGCTGCGAGTCTTGAGACGCTCAGCTT